CTTCAGTTTGGTTAGTCCCGTGAATTGGATCCTCCGAGACTGCAATGTAGGCTTTCGTAAGAGCTACATCTTCATCTTCTGACCAACCTTTAGTGGGAGCCATATAAAAAATAGATGTCTTTCCCAATTAAGTGTAGATGTGAAGATATGAATTATTGTCTAACATATCCCTTCTCATTATATAGAGAAACCATTGTGTGTAAAGAAGTGTAGAAGACAATGTAAAATTTTGAAGGGGCAAAGTAAAATTTGAAAGAACACAAGTTAAATATGAAAGGTCATGGTAATTTCGAAAGGTTCAAACTAAAATTTGAAAGGCACAAATAAAATATGAAAGGTCAGGGTAAATCCGAAAAGGCAAAAGTAAAATCTACAAAAAAGTAAAATTTCAATTCAAAAGTTTGTATAGTCACTATCATGTTTGTATAGTTGTTATCAACACCATCTTTCACTTAAGTCATGTAGATGTTGTCTGCAATCTGGAAGACAAAATATGTGGTGAAAGAAATTAATTCTGAACAAAAAAAAAAAAAGAAAAAAAAAAGAAATGATAATTAATATGATGTGTCACCTAGTGATTTGTTCTCCATATTACGTCTAAAGATAATTTTATTTATTTCAAAAGTTTGTATAGTCACTATCAAGTATGTATAGTCGTTCTCAACATCATCTCTCAGTTAAGTCATGTAGATGTTGTCTGAAATCTGAGAGACAAAATTTGTGGTGAGATAAAATAATTTTGAACAAAAACAAAAGGAACAAAAAAAGACATCATAAATTAATATGATGTGTCACCTAGTGATTTATTCTGCATATTACATCTACAGATAATTTTATTTATTTCAAAAGTTTGTATAGTCACTATCAAGTTTGTATAGTCGTTATCAACACCATCTCTCAATTAAGTCATGTAGATGTTGTCTGCAATCAGGGAGACAAAATATGTGGTGAGAGAAAATAATTTTGAACAAAAAAAAAGGAAAAAAAAAAGACATGATAATTAATATGATGTGTCACCTAGTGATTTGCTCTTCATATTACGTCTACAGATAATTTTATTTATTTCAAAAGTTTGTATAGTCACTATCAAGTTTGTATAGTTGTTATCAACACCATCTCTCAATTAAGTCATGTAGATATTGTCTGCAATCTGGGAGACAAAATATGTAGTGAGAGAACATAATTATAAAAAAAAAAAAGGAAAAAAAAGACATGATAATTAATATGATGTGTCACCTAGTGATTTGCTCTCCATATTACGTCTACATATAATTTTATTTATGGTCTTGTCATCCCTATTTAAACGTGTTTCAATCAATAAAATATTTCGCCATCAATATATCCATTTAATCATTGTACGAGCAAAATATTTCTCTATGTTCTTCTTGCATTTGTTGGATTTCAATGTTTTGATCATGCCTAACCTTTCGTCCGCCTCTAGTATTTGCACTTGATTATTATAATTGGAGTCCGCATTAGAACTAGGCGACGCCTTTTCTTTGCATTTACGGGTTTTTTTCGATCCGATAGGTCTCTTACTACGTTGGTCAGTATGTGCATCCACTGGTGGTAACTCATCCCGTAAAACATACAGTGGTGTAGAATAACTTGGTGGGGAATACATTGGTTGAGATGAAGGAAATGTGGACTGCGAATGAAATGACTACGTTTCAATTTCATCCACCATATCTTCTTGCACATTTAACATCACCCAATTCATACCAACTTCCCAACAACGTTCGAAGTTGAAAGCTTTTTTAGTATTTCTTTGATAGGTAGTCAATGCCAGAGATACAAATTAAAAATTAATATACTTCATGCAAATATTTAAATAATACAAAATACAATTATCATAACATTTACCTCATCGACCAGGTTTCCTCCGCTGCCGCAAACTTAGGAATGCTTCTTTAGTTGCCGAATACCAGTGGTTCAAATTCTTAAAAAACAAAAATTCTCCACGAACTAAGCACAGCATATTTTGTTCTAATATTATACGTAATTCCCTCCTCATCAAGAATTTGTTTCATGGTAGACATAACTTTCTTCCACAGACCCCCTTCAGTTTGGTTAGTACCGTGAATTGGATCCTCCGAGACTGCAATGTAGGCTTTCGTAAGAGCTACATCTTCCTCTTCTGACCAACCTTTAGTGGGATCCATATAAAAAATAGACGTCTTTCTCAATTAAGTGTAGATGTGAAGATATGAATTATTGTCTAACATATTACTTCTCATTGTATAGAGAAACCATTGTGTGTAAAGAAGTGTAGAAGACAATTTTAAATTTTGCAAGGGCAAAGTAAAACTTGAAAGGACACAAGTTAAATATGAAAGGTCATGGTAATTTCGAAAGGTTAAAAGTAAAATCTGAGAGGGCACAAGTAAAATATGAAAGGTCAGGGTAAATCCAAAAAGGCAAAAGTAAAATCTACAAAAGAAAAAAGTAAAATTTCAATTCAAAAGTTTGTATAGTCACTATCAAGTTTGTATAGTCGTTATCAACACCATCTCTCACTTAAGTCATGTAGATGTTGTCTGGAATCTGGGAGACAAAATATGTGGTGAGAGAAATTAATTCTGAACAAAAAAAAGGAAAAAAAAAAAGACATGATAATTAATATGATGTGTCACCTAGTGATTTGTTCTCCATATTACGTCGAAAGATAATTTTATTTATTTCAAAAGTTTGTATAGTCACTATCAAGTATGTATAGTCGTTATCAAAATCATCTCTCAATTAAGTCATGTAGATGTTGTCTGCAGTTTGGGAGAGAAAATATGTGGTGAGAGAAAATAATTTTGAACAAAAAAAAAGGAAAAAAAAAAAGACATCATAAATAATATGATGTGTCACCTAGTGATTTGTTCTCCATATTACATCTACAGATAATTTTATTTATTTCAAAAGTTTGTATATACATTATCAAGTTTGTATAGTCGTTATCAACACCATCTCTCAATTAAGTCATGTAGATGTCGTCTGCAATCTGGGAGACAAAATATTGAACAAAAAAAAAGGAAAAAAAAAAAGACATGATAAGTAATATGATGTGTCACCTAGGGATTTGCTCTCCATATTACGTCTACAGATAATTCTATGTATTTCAAAAGTTTGTATAGTTACTATCAAGTTTGTATAGTCGTTATCAACACCATCTCTCAATTAAGTCATGTAGATGTTGTCTGCAATCTGGGAGACAAAATATGTGGTGAGAGAAAATATTTTTGAACAAAAAAAAAAAAGGAAAAAAATACATGATAATTAATATGATGCGTCACCTAGTGATATGTTCTCCATATTACGTCTATATTTAATTTTATTTATGGTTTTGTCTTCCCTATTTAAACGTGTGTCAATCAATAAAATATTTCGTCATCAATATATCTATTTAATCATTGTACGAGCAAAATATTTTCTCTATGTTCTTCTTGCATTTGTTGGATTTCAATGTTTTGATAATGCCTAACCTTTCGTCTGGCCTCTAGTATTTGTACTTGATTATTATAATTAGATTCCGCATTAGAACTAGGCGACGACTTTTCTTTGCATTTACGGGTTTTTTTATCCGATAGGCCTCTTACAACGTTGGTCAGTATGTGCATCCACTGGTGGTAGCTCATACCGTATAACATACGGTGGTGGAGAATAACTTGGTGGGGAATTCATTGGTTGAGAAGAAGGAAATGTGGACTGCGAAAGAAATGACTCCGTTTAAATTTCATCCACGATATCTTCTTGCACATTTAACATCACCCAATTCATACCAAGTTCCCTACAACGTTCCAAGTTGAAAGTTTTTTTAGTATTTCTTTGATAGGTAGTCAATGCCACAGATACAAATTAAAAATTAATATACTTCATGCAAATATTTAAATAATACAAAATAGTATTATCATAACATTTACCTCATCGACCAGGTTTTCTCCGCTACCGCAAACTTAGGAATGCTTCTTTAGTTGCCGAATACCAGTGGTTCAAATTCTTATAAATTTATTTTCTCCACGAACTAAGCACATCATATTTTGTTCTAATATTATACGTAATTCCCTCCTCATCAAGAATTTGTTTCATGGTAGACATAACTTTCTTCCACAAACCTCCTTCAGTTTGGTTAGTCCCGTGAATTGGATCCTCCGAGACTGCAATGTAGGCTTCCTCTTCTGACCAACCTTTAGCGGGAGCCATATAAAAAATAGACGTCTTTATCAATTAAGTGTAGATGTGAAGATGTGAATTATTGTCTAACATATCCCTTCTCATTGTATAGAGAAACCATTGTGTGTAAAAAAGTGTAGAAGACAATGTAAGATTTTGAAAGGGCAAAGTAAAACTTGTAAGGACACAAGTTAAATATGAATAGTCATGGTAATTTCAAAAGGTTAAAAGTATAATTTCAAAGGGCACAAGTAAAATATGAAAGGTCAGGGTAAATCCGAAAAGGCAAAAGTAAAATCTACAAAAGAAAAAAGTAAAATTTCAATTCAAAAGTTTGTATAGTCACTATCAAGTTTGTATAGTCGTTATCAACACCATCTCTCACTTAAGTCATGAAGATGTTGTCTGCAATCTGGGAGACAAAATATGTGGTGAGAGAAATTAATTCTGAACAAAAAAAAGGAAAAAAAAAGACATGATAATTAATATGATGTATCACCTAGTGATTTGTTCTCCATGTTACATCTACAGATAATTTTATTTATTTTAAAAGTTTGTATAGTCGTTATCAACACCATCTCTCAATTAAGTCATGTAGATGTTGTCTGCAAACTGGGAGACAAAATATGTGGTGAGAGAAACCAATTTTGAACAAAAAAAAAGGAAAAAAAAAAAGACATGATAATTAATATGATGTGTCACCTAGTCATTTTTTCTCCATATTACGTCAACATATAATTTTATTTATGGTCTTGACTTCCCTATTTAAATGTGTTTCAATCAATAAAATATTTCACCATCAATATATCCATTTTATCATTGTACGAGCAAAATATTCAATAATGAATTATGGTTTGAGTTCTAATCAATTCGATTGGGTTGCGTATAATGAGCAAATACTTGAAGAAGACAACGAAGCAGATGCACTTGCTCGTCTACACTATGAAGTAGCCGTTAATCAAGAGGATGTACACGGTGGCTCTATTCCTAGACGCAAATATAAACCTCGCGACCGAAAAGGTAAACACGAACAACTCATGAATGATTACTTCATTGACAACCCTGTTTTTGTCGCAGATGATTTCAGACGCTGGTTCCGAATGAAGCGTGATTTACTATTACGTTTGGTTGAAGACTGCGAGCGCTCGAATTCATATTTTCAAAGAAAATTTGATAGGGCCCACAAATTAGGATTCTCATCACTCCAAAAGGTTACAGTTGCTATGCGAATGTTGGCTTACGCATACTCCGCTGATTCAGTTGACGAAACTTTCCATATGGCAGAGACGACCGCAACCGAGACCTTGCGCAAATTTTGCAAAACTATTTTGCGGTTGTATAAAGATGAGTACCTTCGTGCTCCGACAAACACATATATGACAAGGCTACTTGACAAAGCGGAACGACGCGGGTTCCCTGGAATGATCGGTTCACTAGACTGTATGCACTGGACATGGAAAAGTTGTCCAACTGCATGGCAGGGGAGCTTTTCGGGGAGAAAACATGAACCCATAATGATTCTCGAAGCAGTGGCTTCATCCAATACTTTGATATGGCATGTATTCTTTGGCGTACCCGGTTCACAAAACGATATCACTGTCTTGTGTTGTTCACCCTTGTTCGACAACCTTGTTCAGGGAATTTCCCAAGAGTTTACTATCAGGTAAATGCGAAAGATCACTAAATGGCATACTATCTTGCTGATGTATACCCAAAATGGGGTAAATTAATTCAATCCATTAAGCAGCCGAGAACACATCAAGAACAGTTGTTCTAAAAAATGCAAGAAGCATACCTCAAGGATGTTGAATGAGCTTTTGGAATTCTTCAAGCCCGATATGCTATAGTGAAGCAGCCTGGAAGAGGGTGGGATCCGAAGGACCTAAGAAATATTATGATGACATGTATCGTACTCCACAATATGATTGTGGAAGACGAACGAGATAAATACGCTGATGCGGAGTCAGATGACGATGACAACAACCCAGCCACATCTCGCAGAGCTCGTGCCAACAGTTATGATAGAAATGAGGAATTATATTTAAACCCAAGAACAAACGGCATATCCATAAGTGATTATATGAGACGTCGTCACACAATGCGATCAGTTGAAGTAAATCGTAACCTTTTGCGTGATTTAATAGCTCATGTGTGGGCAAGAGACAATGGAAATATGTAATAATTTTACTTAAGTTTTTATTTACGAATTAAGTGTTTGGTTTTATTAAAATTATGTTGTTATTTCAAATTTATAATAAAAAGTAAAATAATCTTGTTGTTTTTTCTAATTTTTACAATTATAAAAGAAATATATTAAAAAATAAAATAAAATAAAACAAAATAAAATAATAATAATAAAATTACTAATAAATATATAATTTAAAAGGAAATAATAAAATAAAAGAAATGAAATGAAAAAAATTAAAAGTCTTTATTTACAAAGTGTTGATTTTATTGAAATCATGTGATATTAAATTATGTAACTAAATAAATGAAATAAAATAAAATAAAATAATGATAGAATACAAAAATAAATACAAAAGAAAAAAAATTACACGTAAAAGAGAGAAAAGAAAAAAAAAGGAAAAAAAGAGAAAAAAGCGTATAACAAAGAAAAAGAAAAAAAGAAAAGAAAAAAAAAAAGAAAATAGGTGAGTAAATCACATGCCCCATTCCAGCACTTGAGTTGGAAGGGGGCAACTCAAGGGAAAGTCCCCCTCCTCTTCTCCCCACCCATACCCAACCCATACCCACCCCCCATTACCCACCTCCATTTGAGGTGGTTTTGTCTCCCCACCCCTACCAACCCCCATGACCATTGGAGATGGTCTAAACAATCTGTCATTTTGTTGTAGAGCTAACAATACTATTGGTTAGCTCTACTCGTACTTTTACATATAATACATCGTACTATATGTTTCGATAAATTGTACTTACCTTTTGAACACATGGTACTATATTTTGCGATAAATTGAGTTTTATAAAGATTATATTCGAAGATACATTGTCAATACTAGACTTGTATTTCACATGTGTATTCACTTTCCTTACTTGATGAACAAAGCGTAGTATATTTTGTGATGAATTGAGTTGTACCAATTTCATTGACACTTTAATGATCAATAAGTATGGGAGATGCATAAATTATGTTTTAGATGAGTATGTAGGTGAGCATTATTGTTGCATTTGGAGTACAACATCCCCTAAATATATTGAATTTCATACATGATACTCATATGAGTATACACGATACTCATATAAGTATACAAGGCTCAAGTGTAAAACTAATATTTTCCTCAAATGTTACCATAATCAATGTTGATCGACTCCCACGTTGTCTCATTTTATTTTTAATAGTCTTAAAATGAAGACTGTGTCTTAAAATGCGATTATATGGATGCATTGGCCCCACAATAATATATAGAATGTAACGATACAATATGAATGGCAAACATATACTATATGAATGAACAATGCGTACTATATTCACGAATAACCCGAACTTTATCAGTTTATACATTGTACTTATTTGACACACAAATAGTACTATATATTGTGATATATTAAGTTGTACCATTTCATTGACACTTTAATGATCAATAAGTATGGGAGATGCATAAGTTATGTTTTCGATGAGTATTTTAAGGTAGGTGAGCATGATTGTTGCATTTGGAGTACAAGATCCCATAAATATGTTGAATTTCATACATGATACTCATATGAGTATACAAGATATTCATATAAGTGTACAAGCCTCGTGTGTAAGACTAATATTTTCCTTAAATGTTACCATAATCGACGTTGATCGACTCCCACATTGTCTCATTTCATTTTTAATAGTCTTAAAATGAAGAATTGTGTCTTAAAATGCGATTATATGGATGCATTGGCCCCACAATAATATAGAGTGTAACAATACAATATGAATGGCAAACATATATTTTTTGAATGAACAAAACATACTATATTCACGAATAACCCAAACTTTACCTGTTTATACATTGTACATATTTGACGAACAAAGCGTACTATTCATGAATAACCCTAACTTTACCATTTTATACATAGTACTTACTTGATGAACATAGCGTACTATATCCATAAACAACACGAACTTTACCAGTTTATTTATTGTACTTACTTGATGATCAAAGCGTACTATATTGAATAACCCTAACTTTACCAGTTTATACATTGTACTTACTTGATGAACTAAGCGTACTATATGCATGAACAACCCGAACTTTACCAGTTTATACATTGTACTTACTTGATGAACAAAGTGTACTATATTCATGAATAACCCTAACTTTACCAGTTTATACATTGTACTTACTTGATGAACTAAGCGTACTATATGAACGAATAACCCGAACTTTACCAGTTTATACATTAAACTTACTTGGTGAACAAAGCGTACTATATTCACGAATAACCCGAACATTACCAGTTTATGCATTGTACTTATTTGATGAACAAAGCGTACTATATTGACGGATAACCCGAACTTTACCAGTTTATACATTGTACTTATTTGATGAACAAAACGTACTATATTCACGAATAACCCGAACGTTACCAATTTATACATTGTACTTGGTGAACAAAGCGTACTATAATCATGAATAACCCTAACTTTACCGTACTCTTATGTTCACTAGTTAAACAACAGTACATAGGTTTGACATAGCATGTAGACTGCTGATAAGTGTTCATTTTGCACAACTTTTACTTATCGAATCTTCGAGTTTTGGTCTTCGTTCGTCCGAGTTTTCGGCTTTATTTGTACATATTATGTTTTTTTTATTTATATTTTAGGTAAAGAGAAGCTATTTTTGCCGATTTGAAACGATTTTGGAAGCGAAGCCGAAAATCAAACCAAACACGTGCAAAAGTGCATTATCGCGGGATATGGCACTGTTTCGTATTTCAAGCATAACTTTTTCATACGACCTCCGATTGAGCTGATTCAAGTGGCCTTAGAAATATAACTTCAAGATCTACAACTTTTGGGAAATGTAAAATTGTCAAATTCGGGCTAACAAAGGGTCCAAACTGTGTTTTAAGTTGGCGCAGAAGACCAGATCGCGATCCAGCCTTTCTGGATCGCGATCTGGGGGGGTCTTACAGAAGGTTTTCTTGATCAGGACCCAGATCGCGATCCAGATTCTGGATCGCGATCTGGGGGGTCTCACAGTACATTTTGATCAAGAACCAGATCGCGATCCACCATTCCGTATCGCGATCTGGCAAGGCGGTGCACAGTTTTCGAGGCAAGATATTTGTGTTTTTGCAAGCCCCCTATAAATAGAACAAGCTTCCTCTCCATTTAGACTTCTAACACTTCCGGCTTCAACTTTTGCTTCGGTTTTCTCTTCGGTTTTCGCCAGTTCTTCGAGGGAACCTTCGACGAGGGTTTCGACTCGGGTTTTTCATAAGCTTTTCTTTACGTTTAGTTTATAATTTCACGTGTTCTTCATTTTGATGCTATGTTTGTAATGAACTAAGCATTTTCTTTTAGGGAAATGAAACCTTGTATATATTGATTTTGATTTCCAGATATGTGATCTATTTGTCGTTCTTTGATTATGTTTATGTTTTCCTGTATTAAATGCTTTCGATTGTTTGGCCAACAGTTGAATTGATTCTAAATGTGAATGAACTCGAGAGAGGATTTCTCGTTTGATTTTAGGAAAACATAGCTCGGGTTGTGGAAACGGAGACGTGATGCACCTCGGGTAGCCCTTAAGGACTTGACCTAAATGCTCTCTTAATATCAGGTTCTGAACGGAGACGTCGGACCTGTGGGTAGACTCTAACTACACTGGAGACGGGGGTTAGGGTATTTTAGTGTCTGGGTTAGCGAATATAGAACTGACATTAGATTCGGATTTGTAGATCTTTATCGATAGTACATTGGTGGATTTTACCCTAGAAGCCATCACACGTCAGAATTCCTCGCTTGTCCTGGCGGACCGTTGTTTTTATTTTTGTTTCCTTTTGGCTTCATGTCATCTCCCATCTTTTTCTCCCGTCTAGATAAAGTTTAGGATAGTATAATTACGGTACTTGGTAGATTTAGGAACTTAATTCCCTGTGGATCGATATCTGGAATTCACTATTCTACAAAACGCGATACTGTACACTTGCGGTTATTTATACGTAGGTTTTACGCGTATCAACTGCAAATATTACTAGATTCAACACTATCAAACTATGAACTACTCCACCTTCAAAATTTCAATTCTTCACTTCACTTTCTTGATGGACTTGGTTCATAGACGCACTTGTAGCTTCATTTTCTTCACGATTAGAGTTGTTGTGGGAAAAAAATTGCCCAACTTCAAATGGTTCACACCAATAGGAGTAGCCATGGTGTGGGCAACAATAAAATTGGGATTCAAAATAGTTTCTGAAACCATGATTATTGTTTTCTTCCCACAATTAAGACGCTTGCATTCCTTTTTTTTTTTTTTTTTTGTATTTTAGCACACTCATTTGAGTGGTGCTACTTGAAGAAGCCATGAATGAGAAAAAAATGAGCCTATGTATCATTTATGCTCATATTATGACTTGAATGGTTCTGTATTATGACATCATTTTACAGTACTTTTCTCGAAAAAAGAGGAAAACAGAGGAGAGAAAGAGAGAAGAAAGAGAGCAGATA